CTTCTAGAAGTTTCAACATTGTAATCCTACTAGGAATGCACTACCTACCTCTATAAATACATAATTCCAAATCATTATCAATGTACGTTTTTACATAATTTTTCAGCACATATTTTTTCATAAATTCTCTCTCTGACTTGAGTATTAGAGGGGTAACGAGAACACACTTCAAAGCTTTTGTTTCAGGTACCAGAAGACCTCGTTCGTGCTTATTCTCAGTCGTCAAACTCGAAAGTCAACATGTACGATTTTTGATAGCATCAAATGCTTTGCCAATAATTTGTAAATGAGCTGGAAAGATTGTATGGACCCCTCGGTTATGTTTGTCGAATCGAAGTTATTGTTGCTTTGGCAACTTAGGTGCATACATTGTGGTTTTTCCTTTATTAGCTGAGGCACTTGAAATTATACTTCTCTATGACGAGGCACTTGAAATTATCTGAAATTGAAACTTCCATCATCTCTTTTGAGAACAATAGACTTCCGTCATTGTCATCTAACTCATATGACCTTCCAGGATGATCTTCATATTCCGCATATAAAGGAGTAGAATATGAAGTGTTGATCAAACTTTTCTCTCGTCTACTTTCACGACGGCAGCATTGGTTGTGCCTTTTGTCATGAGATCTATTCATTCGGTGATCTTTTTGATACTTGTATGTTGCGCTATTCTCCCGGAAGAAAATTATACATGTTTTATGCCCTTTTTGACCGGATTCTCTTTGTAGATTTATCTTTCGATTCTCTACTTTCGCATGCAGAGAAGCATTTTTCGTTGTCAATGCTTTGTGTCTTTTTGCCATATCCTGTATGGTTTTTGCCGTCGACATTTTCTTTCGCTATCGATGATGATGAACTGGAGATAGATCGCCTTGCAACTTCAGTGGAGTCTCTTCCTGCTCAGTTTCAAATCTATGTCGCTATTAACTAGTTCATCACCATGCTCCTCAATTTTGATTTCTAGTGTCTTTACGTCTTCCTGATTTGCCTTAGCTTGACTTATTCTAATTGTTGATTCCAGTGATTTTTCTGATTCAATTAATGAATTCGTGGTTATCTTTTCTTTGATTTTTTACCGATGGTGCCAATTTGTTAATCACAAAATCACGATCAACAAATTACTCCCACCTAACCAGGAGTCTCTCCTAGTAATCTCATTGTACTCCATGCTCGTAAGGAGCAAAATAGATAGATATTTGGAAGAGAAATGTTTGAATTTGCTTGCCTCACTTCTTCTAGGCAGGACCTGTTTATAGATTTCTTTTTGAGTTTTAGAGCATTGAAGTTTTTTTTAGTGAATGACAAGTGGTGACCATTCAATGGTGAATTTTTACCTAATTTTATTGTGTTCACATTTTTAACTTACGTAATCTTCATTCATTGGTTTTGAGGTCAAGCTTTAAACATTTACCAACACGTGCTTTTGTCAATGAGATTGAATAAGATTACGAAAATCGTTGAATATTACGATTATATTATCATTAAAATTGTACCATATATAGATAGATTTAAATGAAATTGAATAAGATTACGGAGATCGTCGTAGATTACGAGTATATTATCATTATAATTGTATCTTATATAGATAGATTGCTTTTACCATATTTAATTATGATTCTGGTTTTATACAATGAGAGAACCCCACACACAGAGGGGTATCGAGTCTTATTGAATATTATTGTGTATATTTGACATGGTATCATATGCCTTTCTTTCGAATCTTCTCTTGTTTTCTTGGTTAGGTTTTCTCAAGGCAGGAGGAGTTTTTTGTTCCTCCCGTCCGCTCTTCATCAAATTGAATCAATTGTTTCTTTTTCCCGTTCACGTTCTTTTTAAACACACCCTTCTCTCATTAAATTTGTTTTTCAATCTGCAGTTTTACAAGTTAATAAATATCTCCACCTCGTCCACTGTATCTTTCCCATCGAATCTCTCCATAACGACAAATAGTCGAGAGATAATTTTTGTTTTTTTCCCTCTGCAACTGTAGCGTATGTCTACCCACAAAAAAAATATATATATAGAGAGAGTTAATGTCAAAATCGACAACAAAATGTAGAAATAGTGTGCGATTCTCACGCCAAGGTTCTGATTCTAGTACCTAAATGAGTATTCATCAGTTTGGTCTCAGTATTAGTCCCAATAACTGAAGCGAAGTCATCACCTATTGAACTTGGCCATGCAGTGGCCTGCGAAAATATTAGAGGCCGGCATTATGAATTTGTGGCAGATCTCGCAGAGGTGGTGGCGGATTGGTGATAGCGAGTGGGGCTGAGACGGCGGTTATGCTTGAAACGGTGGCTGTCGGAGTGGTCAGTTAGCAGCTGCGGTAGGCGGTGGGTTAATAGGTAATGGTTAAGATTGGGTTGTCAGCTTATGTCGAAGGTTGGGTGTGATTTTTGGTATTAGTCTGAAAATAGTATGTAATGGGCTTGGGTTATATGGTGTTAATGGACTTCTGGATAAGTGGGCAGATTTGAGGCAGTTTTGTGCGAGTAAATTGTTTGAACAGTCACTGAACTTTAACATGGTCACAACTTACTCACTGAACTACAAATTGCCTCTAAATGGTCACTGAACTTTCATTAATTGCACCACATCCAACACTCAGAGG